ACCTCTAGTTTCTCTTCAACCTTTGGAAATACAAATAATTTATTGGTAAGCAATTAATTTAACTTTTCTTAGGCATGCCAATGGATAACATCTGGGGCGTATATTTTTTAATTTAGGGTTGAATTGAATAAGAATCTCTGGGCTATCCGGAACTGGTCGGCCTATTCGAAACTGGTAAAAATGACACCTATGGTAACTTGCGAAATATTTTTTTTGAAGGCAGGGTGAACTTTTATGAAACAATATTTAATTTCACAAGTCATCGAACTACCTTGACAAAACACTTAAATTTTGAAATAATGTCTAGTATATTTATAGCTCAGCCGAATCGGTTTCTTATTCGGAACTGGCCAAACGACTGTACTTATTCTATGTATTATGAAAACATGATTTTTTTTATATTTTTAATTTGAAAATACTAGTAGGAGATGTAATGGCTGTACGAATATTTACAATTGTTACTGGTTAATTATAGATAAAGGATCCTTTTAATTAATCAGATTTATTGTAAATACTCTATATAAGCTAACTTTATGAATCGCACAGGTTTAATATATATTCAATATCTCGTCTTAGTTTAAAATATATTCATTTATTGAAACGGATTGAACAGCAGGCATAAATGCCTATGATCGTTCTCTCCATATCTCGTCTTCACGTACTTCGAATTCTAAGGGATATGATCAGATCGCTGTGGCATATAGACAGCATAAATTAAGGAAGTCCTGTCTAGTTACACAGTAGTATAGTATGCCAGGGTATTAACAATAGTGGGAAACATGGGATAATTTGCATAACGGGCGAAGCCCAATATGCATAAATTATCCCATGTTTCCCACTATTGTTGATGTCCCTGGCATACTATACTAACTAGACAGTGATTCTTTGTATTTCCGTTTCATTGTGAAAATAAAATTGTAGATATAGACTTAAATAAAATGCAGACATAGATTTAAATTACACGATGATTTCCATCCCATTTTCAATAGCCATCGACCACTGAAGTCAAACACAACAGCAGCCTCACGAGATTTCCATGCAAATTTTGCCTCCTTATCGTTAGACTCGAAGGCAGATGCGCACATGATTTGCATGCATATTAAGCCTCCTTAGCTCCAGACCTATTGACCTGCCTAACTTACATTCCGGTATAATTACCAAGGAATTAACTCCGCTAAGTTTCAAAGGGTTATCACAGAGAGAAAAATTAGAAACGGAAATATTACAGCTAACCCCCCCCCCCCTTCCTTCTCTTCAACACCACGTTAAACATTTCGTTTTCATAAAGCGAGGCATTTATTGATATTTTTTAGATTCCTTCCAGTATCTCTCCCCTTCAGAAATCTCAGATTGTCGAAGCTTACTTTTTAATTTTATTATTGTTAACAGTCCTCCTGTGATCATCAAAATTTCGACTATTTATACTTTCAATGTGGTTTGCAAGATAATTTGGTCCAACGCACTTTGTGCAGATGTCACCTACATTTGACCGAGAGTTTTTAAAGATATATCTTTTTTTGCAGTTGAGGTAAAAAGAATTGGAGGAATATATTCAGAATAAATTCAGGACTAAGCACTGCTTTTTGTCCAGGCAATAAATATACAGTTTTCACAATGGATGGGACTGTAGCTCCCCAGTCTGTCAAAATATTTTTTCGGAGAACTACCGTTCTGGAGCTAGAATTTGCCACACTACTATTACAAGGCACATTGTAAGAATCTCTTGCATGCATATGGATATGTCTACCATCCTTAGCTATGCAAATAACAGCTTAGAAATAAAAGGGTAAAAACACTGTAAGCTATAACTTTCCAACCCCAACCCCACTCTTACCCCCCCCCTCCCCCCACACACACACATACACAAAAAAATGCATGACAACTTTCAATTCTGGTGCAATGTACATTTACAGGAAATTCTTTATTTAACTATGCGAATTATACTTAAGCATATTTATCTAAATGAGAATTATTTTGTCACTAAATTAAGAATTATGTTAAAGCTCAAGAAAATCAACCCTACTGCAGGATTCAAACATAATATAAACAATATTATTTCGAATTATCGGCTTGAGTCCTCCAGTTTTTGCTAAGTTATACATTATGTAGACATTGAAAATAGGGTTTACGGTTTTATTGGGGATTAGCCCCATTTCAATATTAGCCCCCCCCCCCGTGTTTAATTTGCGTTAGACGCCTATGAATTATGCTGAATGTATCGCGACTGCTTATCATCAAACTGCAATACTGCGTGGTTTATAACGTGCAAACTGTCCCAAGTTATGTTAGAATTATCGCATTATTCGAATAACATAAGTTTAAATAACCTTCATTCCTTTAAAAATTATAGGCTCGATAAAGAAACTTAATTTACATGCGTAAGTACTAAGTCAATCGTACATCTATAATCCAGATGGTCCATAGACACGAATGTTTGTCCGACTGGCTGATGATCATACATGTACCCTAGTATTGTAACATAATATATGTAACTTTAACATTTAAAAAAAATACGGACTTAGAAATAAGAAAGAGGATATATGTCAAGGTAATGTTTGTTTCATGAAAGGTCACGTGACACGTTTTTCACTATACTATCGGGGACACGTGTGTAACCCCCAAGTACGAACCTTCGCTCATTATGAAAAGTTCACATTAACACACATCTTTTAACCCTAACTTACCGGGGACATTTTTTCAACATGTTAAAAATGGATTTTTTCGGATTTTTAGGGTAATTAGACATCCCTGATTTCGAATTTGGCGCTGTTTTTAATCGGAGACAACCGGGGACGTCCACGGTTGGAAGGTCGTCCCCGGTTGGAAGATGTGTAAACAAACAAATATCCCCGTTTGATACCCTACACGCACACACCCTGTTGTGTGAGGGTGTGTGTGTGTGTGTGTGTGATTTTTATGCAAAAGCATAAAATTATCACGCAAGTAAATTGCTTGATCATCCGTTATATTCTTATATTTACATGTTCTTATTTCGGTTAAATTCACTTCCTTCAAGTCCTACCTACTTTCCTCTCTGTCTCATTTTTTTAAACCATTCCCATCTGTATCCAAGTCAATATTCAGAAATCAGATAGTGATACTTTTTGAAGTTTTTTTCTAGAACAAAACCATTTAAAAGTGAATATATACGATCATGAAATCATAAATAAATTTACAAAAAATTGAATTTAGATTGGCTGTTTTTGTTGTTTGTTTGTTTGTTTTTTGAGTAGAACGAAATCTGATGGAAAGTCCATCTATGGATTTTCTTTAGCTATATATAGTCTACATTTAACGTAATTTATGATGTTGTTATTACCAGAGCGTTTCGAAATATTAAATGATACGGAGAATTTATTCACAGTATTCTCTGATTTACTCGAAAGGGGTAATATTTTCTGGAAAAGATAAATAATCCAATCTTGAGAAAATGCGTTGGCATATTTCGTCATGATTAAAAGCAAGTCGGCTAAAGCAATAGATATAAATCCTCTTAACTTTAACTCTTTAACTTTTACTCTTTAACTCTTGTTAACTCGTTAAACTCGTGTACTATTTAACTTAAAATATGGTTGGATACAAGACTAGACCCTTTTTTTGTTTAAGAGTATTCCTTGATTAGATCACTTCTTTTAAAAAGTTTTAGAAATAAGTGATCTTGGGTCCTCATTATTTATTTAACTATATTAATGTTCCTTGTAATAAAGTGTCCAGAAGGACTATAGTTATAGTGCGAAGAAGAGAATGAGGCTTATGATTCAGATATTCGATATCCAGGCCTCGTAAAGTTTTCTTTTAAATAAGAAGTTTGGAAGCAATAGTCGATGTGCATTTGCAGGAAATACAATGTGAAGTCTTAAACTTGAAATGTGGCGGAATACAAGACTGGACCTTTTTTCAGAATGTAACTTATACTAACCGCGTCAATTCCTTAAACGGCGTATCTAAGTTCAAGGAAATGACGAATTGTTTTATCTGCATTTGCTTCAGTTAAACGTTGGGGATTAAAAAGCTTATGATTTGCAATATCCATATTCACAGATCTGAGCTATATCATAGTGTCGAGAAATTTAAATAAATGGGCTTTCCTTGAAATTAAAAAAAGACTATTTAAAAGTTAAAAGAAGACAGAACAAATATGATGTAGTACAGATTATTGATTTACACATGGTAGTATAAATCAAAAGAAACATCTCGTATTTAAGATTTTTTTTGTAGGACCGATTCTCATGACTACACTTACGTGTCCGTATATGGTTAAAAAGTCCCATCACATTTACATTGTTACACTGTGGACTGGAAAGATTTCCAATTCGACATTGTCAGTACATCAATAAGGAAAAGCTGTCCCTAGTTTTCTCATCATAAACTCTCCTCGTTGTCTAAGGAAAGGTGTAAACAGTAATGATCTGATTGTGTAATGATAAATCTTTTCTAGAATTCTTTCATTGACAAAATGGAATGATCAGGTAAATTGGCATGTTTCTATAAAATTTGTTGACCCCCATTTTTATACTCCCCGCTTGAGGAGTGGGAGGGTATACTGTAATCGGTATGTCCGTCCGTCTGCCCGTCAGTCTGTCTGTTACGCTTTGGGGTACCCATCTATTATCCGCAACTCCTCTTATACCACTGAGTGAAATTTAATGAAACTTTCACAGAATCTTTATAACATACATGTTTTGCCATTGTGCACCACCTATTTTACTTTTTGATCCGACACATATTTTGGGTTTCTCGGCCACAGCAAAACATGGACTTTGCCATTATAATCATATGGGAGGCGGGGGTGTCATTTAGTGAGCTCATTGCTCACAACATCTCTAGTTTACTTGAAATCTTGACCTGATATTCTTTTCTTGAGCGGTCATTTGGTTTCACCAATATAAGCCACTTCTTTGGTAAAAGCATATGAAGATACATGTATTTTATCTATTCTTCATGTATATCGATTATCATATATAGATAAATTATATATTTTGACTTGTTTTCCATTACAGCTTAGATCCAATATATCAGGATATTGAAGAAGGCAATCATCATTTTTCGAAGTTTTTAACAATTATGGGTAGCGTTTATATAACAGTGGTTATAATGGCAATAACTGGTATCGAAGTTCGTAACAGATATCCAAATGCATTTGATGGTAATTTATTTACATCAAATATTTCATTTATGCTTCTACTTATGTCACATTTGTTGAATTCTAATCCACTATTTATAGAATATTTTCAATGAAGAAACAAGTTAAAAATGGAAAAGAGATGAATATTATTTCTTATTAAACATAACATATTGCAATGTATTTTTTTTCAATTCAGATACGTACTTTTAAAGCTACATAATTGCTGTAATACGCAGTAAATGGTCGACATGGTCTTTTTATCCAACTTGAGAGACTTCGAGTGTTGCGTTTTCTTCCGTAATATTTCGACAGAAAAAGCATGCTTAAAATATACAATTAATTCTGTACATATGTATCAATGCCAGGTTTATTGCAAATTTGATCATTCTTAGCATTTGTTTTAGGTCATCTGTATTATATTGTTCCTTCTTGATTAATTGTATACAAACATGCACACGTGACGTATTTATGGCATAGTCAAACATTCATTCCAAGTTGATTTTCACATATATTTATTATTTTGTTTCTTACTAAGAAATTTCATTTAACATATTTTTCTTTGATTGTTGTCTTTTTTTCATTTTTTTCTCTTCCCCCCCCCCTTTGCTTTGCTCATTTTATCTTTTTGTTTAGTTACCTTGAGTTAAATATACAATACAATGTTTGATTTACATATATATGCATTAAACAACCATGGTCTTTCATTTTTATTTTTAGCATATTCATTCCGTTAATATATGCATATTGGTTGATGTTTTAAAGTCTCTGAAGGTTTATTTTTTACTGAGTGACGCATATATGTAATATTGTCATCTGATAATTTTAGTTTATTTGTATAATTACGAGGGCTGTTCGAAAAGTGAAGTTTATGCTTACAAAATTTTGAAAGAACATAAAACAACAAAAATTAGAAAAATGTTGAAAATTTTCGCTTGATACATGTACTATAATTATTATACGAATTATCATTTAATAAAAAGACATTATTTGTTCACCCGGCAGAGTCGCCATTTAGTTACATGAGACATTGTTTCTCAAAGTCCACATTATCTGCCTCATACACTTATCTTGATGAGACTCCTAGAATTTACGTAAAGATTCATACTCGCTTTGTTTGTATAATTTTTAAGTGTCATGAACAGCTGATTTCAATGCATATGATATTGTAATTAGATGTATACATTGTGAAAGATTCTAATTTATTTATAACAGCATATTTGCTTGCCTATGTTCCACATCTAACAAACATGATCAACGTCACTTTTCTACGTGACAAACCTTGAACACCCTTACTACAAAACGACATTATTTTTTTTACATTTCTCGTCTCTCTAATCTTTTTCAAAATTAAAATTCAAGTTCTTTGAATGCATTTAATTTTACAAGGGCCGACTTGAATATTTCGTAGGTCTATGCCAATTTTTCTAAGGGTTGACATTTCATAGAATGAACCCCATCTACCCTTTCTGACGTCATTACAACTCATAAATTGTTTGCACATTTCATATAAAATTTACTAAGAAATTCCATAGATCTTATACAAAATGAGGCAAACATTGCAAATTTTACTGTATAATATTGTAATAACGCATGAGTGAATTAACAGCATTTTTGAATGACGTATGCTCTTTGTTTCTCAGTTACAATTAGGTAGAAAAAACGTTATCTTCGTGGTTGCGCCGCCTGGGCATACCATTGCTTTAAAAACATCAACAATTTATTATAAAAAGAAAGTAATGATGTAAAGTTCATTATATAAATTAAAAAGATGATGCTAATTAAACGTTTAATATTTCATTATTGTATCTTAAACAGTTTTGATTTTATGCCGCTAGTCCAAGAACTTTTCGAACAACCCTCGAAATTATCTGTTGATAAGGTAATGCTAGTTCAAATGAAAATCAAAATATTTACATTCAGAGTAATTTTCTTTATGTTATCCATTAGAAATATACGACGTTCAAATCTCTATAACACACGTGAAACCGTGTCACCGAGCGTTGGAATACATAATAGGAACTATATATTTTTTCAATACTCTAGGAATACCAAATTGCACAATGTTTTAACTCGATTTAATAAAGAATTATAATCTATAGCTCTGTTAAATTGGTGTTCTACAAAATTTCCTTTTTAAAATTATTTTTCACTTTTTTCCACGCAATGTTCGTTAGCGTTATATAACGTTAGAACGTCTCAAACGGATAACGTATTTTAAACACAACAGTTTTGAAGGACACTAAATTCACACTAAAAATAAGCGAAATAGAAAAATTAGAAAAAGCAAAAATTAGAGAAAGTAAATATAAGCATTGAATTCATAATCTTGGATGTCTTCGGTCCTATAACATACCTGGCCGTGCCGACAAATTATCATACCGTTAGAAAGCGCGTGAGCGCGGTATTATAATTTGTCGGTACGACAAGGTGTGTTATAGGACCGAAGACATCCCAAAATATGAATTCAATGCTTAAATATAGATTATCTCCTGGTTTAAAGGTTTTACGAATCAAGTACTATAGATTTATCAACCATTACAAAAAAGAATGTTTTTGCGAAAAACAGTTAATTAAATGTAGACAGTTGTTGTGTACATATAATCGATGTTTGTTTGTATTTTGTTATTTTTTCGTTATTAAAATTCCATTATTTATTTAGAACACTTACGCAGGCATTATGGGGGTTACTTACCATTTGAAACAATTTGGTCTGTAAGGTTTTGAAATGGGTTATATTGTTTTACTTTTGTGATTTACTGTTTGAATTTCAAGTAAAATTGATTGGTTGTGTAGTTCTTGTTATTTTATTAAATGGTTATTTTTTTTTTTTTTTATTTTACTTCATTTTTTTAACATAAATTTCCCCGCATGAAATTGGCCCCATTTTAGCACAAATGTATCGAGGAAATCATACATACTTGAAGTACTGCATCACTCACTTTTGACATGACTTTTCTCAAGACTATATATATGATTACTCTAACTTGGCGTAATGTAGTAACCCTTGGACTTCAGGTCAAGGAACTGTCCGCCATGCTTTTGAAACACACGAAAAGTCGTTATGTAGTATAAAATTGCATCTGCAGCTCTCCCTTTTCTTTATTTTGAAAAATTCCAGCATGAGCAATGAAAATGCGTGCTTTCAGTCATATTCAGGACATATAGGCATCACATCCGGAAAAAAGAAGGATTTTTTTCCGGGATTTTACTAATTGTTAAAGCTACAATAGCTTGAAATCAACAAAAATACTGTCAAGAATTTTATTAAAATTGCAAATTTTTTATTTCTGTTAATAGGTTAAAAATCAACTTCCGTCTGACGTCTCCATATCAGTGAAAAATTCTCGAGAGTGGCGTAAAACAATATAAAATCAATCTGCCCCCCCCCCACTTTTTTTCCCAACAATACCTTTTCTATAGAAAATGACCATTGAACGGTTGGTTGCCCCCCCCCCCCACTTTTTACCGCAGTATATTTATGGCAAGGAAATATAGGGAAAATTGCAAGTGAAAAGAGGTTGGCCTTAAAAAAAATTGGCCAACCCCCCTCCTACCCCCACCCAGCCACCCCAGCCCCCCCAACCCCAACCCCCCCCCTCCCCACACCATCCACGAAATAGGATTTTCAAGTTTGGAGAATTTTTAACTTTCCTTTTTTTTTTTTTTTTTTTTTTTTTTTTTTTTTGCTTGTGAACGTTTTTTAGGTAAGCAAAAAAAAAAATTTCTCAGGTTGGCCCCCCACTTTCAAAAACGATGCTACGTGCCTGGTAGAAACCGAGGCCCTGTGTCGCAGTAGATACTGGCACGAAAAAGATTCCTCACTGCTCAAAGGCCCTGAGTGCCGAGCATAGGAAAAACTTTTAGCCCTCCACCGGCTAGTGGTGGCGTTTCCATATGAGTGAAAAATTCTCGAGAGGGACGTTAAACAACGTACAATCAATCAATCAATCAATCAAACATACGCTCTTTATAATATTTACAAAATTTGTTTTACAGATAACCAGTGCTAAAAGTATGAGCCAGTATTACAATTTGTGAATAAAAATGCATGAAAAAAATTTTGAAACACTTCAGGAAGAGCTAATTTAATTTGAGAACATTGAAAACATTTCATGCACCAAATTATATCGGTAATTGTATAAGAAAGAAACAAAAATATATATAATCTTGTAAATTACTACAAATGAACACAAAAGTTAACATCACAAAACATACGTATATTGACATAAAAAGGGAAAGGAAGATTTATCAAATAAACCTTAAATCCTATTTCTTTTTTTGTATATCGTACTAGAGTAACCTAATACTGGACAAAACAATTGTTTTAAAATATTTTTCTTTTAACAGTTCTTGCTTCCATATCTTACTTTTGCATCATTTTACTCTCTCTCTCTCTCTCTCTCTGGAGATCCCAGTGGATATTTCCCAAAAAGGTATACTCAAGTCTGATTACAAGGTGGGCCAATCTTCACGACAAGCATTTTTTTCGGCGACATGGCCCTATATGTAATTGTATATTTTGTCGTCGTTTTTCCTTATTGAATAAGTTTTGTCTTGGCACGATTTGTTACAGGTAACAGAAAGTGGACAACAATATGTAAAGCATATCAATTTATATGTAATATTACAAGATCCTTTCAATTTCCAATCTCTTGAATTATCTCATCGATGGCAATTCTCAAGACCTATAATGTTAGATCCGTTGTATGGTAACCACTCGACTTATGGAAACCTGTGAATTCATGATTTTTTCGTTTCTTTGCAAATAAACTGGAACACTGTAGTAAATGTATTTTAAACAACTGTTAGATAGAGGTCGTCCAAGTCTTCCTGAGAAGTAGATCTTAATTCACAAATTTCCGTTTTATCACATTCATTCAATTCAAGACACTCATCTAATTCTAAACTGTTTTCTATAACTAAGTCTGTGTTGTTCACAGTAATGTCATCATATTCAGAGTTTAGCGCCGATGTTGTAATTGTAGAAGGAGAATTAATAATGGAAGTAGTGGTTGTTAAATTCATTGTGTTATAGTGATGGTCATTTGGACTTACATCAGAAAAATTTGTGTATCTCTCACCATTCTCTCGGAACTGATCAGAGAGTCTTTTTTGATGGCATCCAATTTTTATCATTAATAGACAAAGAACAAGGATTATAATTAATACAAAGTTAAAAGACAGCGATGCAATAAAAATGCATTTGTCAATGGATTATAATTAGTTGTAAACATCCGAATTTGATTGATGCTACATCCGTTATTTCTGTCATTAAGTGTTGAGATTTCATTTGTCAACAGAGCGTCAAATCTTGTCATATCTGAAATCGAAAGGTTAAAAATAGAATTGAAGTGGAGATAATTAAAAGCCAACATTATTATGATATGCGCTTGCTTTCTGTAAATTTATATCTATTTTCATTTATATTTTTCGAAATACTTTAATTTTTTTCATACATTTATATGTAAATAGATTTAAGGACAGATGATATAGATTTTTTTTTTCTTTGGAGGAGACTTTTTATCATCTCAGAGCCATAGAAAATTCTATAATTCCTTGAATGTTTCCTTCTTAGTCTTGGACAATAAAAAAGAACTTTGAAAATATTAGTGAATATTTTTTAAAAATTACAAATATTGACGAAACATACTTAATAAAGTTTTAAAGATGACAATAAATTTCAAAATATGTTTGAATTATTCTAAAAGTGTAATATCATCTTTAAAAAAAAAACTATGCAAAGCCTGTTAAATTTTATAAGGAAAAAGCAAAAAAATAGTAAAAATCACCCTTTGTGATTTTTCTGATTGTTCCCCATTTTGCATTTTTTCATGAATTTCACCTAGCTTGGTATATTTTTTGTAAAGATAATGTTACATTTATAGCACTTAGCTAACATATTCTGAAATTTGTTTTTATCTGTAAACAATTACTAAGTTTGATTTTTCAATATTTGTTATTTTATAGAAGTATTTACTATTATTATCCAAATCTATTTCATTTTCGAAGGCTAAATAGGAAACAACCAAAGAATCATCCACTTTTCTACGCCTGTTAGATGATATTAAGTATAATCCAAAGAGAAAAATTTTTTGAATCTTCTTTCTTTAAGAAGTGTTCACATTCTCATTTTGTTGTTAAGAAAACACCCTATATATATCTCATGTGTATTTCCAAAGGTAAGAATCCTTATTACTATTATCAATTAATGAAAACAAAATTCTAAATATACCTGAACTATTTGATGTACATCCTGACCTAAAATCACAAAACATCGCAGAACATTGGCATAGCTTTTCGCACTGGAAACCATACAATGGATACTCACATTTCTCAGAGCAGTTAAATGCGTAAAATCCCGGACTGCATTCTGTCAAATAAAATAAAGACGTTTGGATCAGAAATACATCAAATTTTGTTCATTTCCGAAACAATTTTAAGAATATCTCACAGATTTGCAATAAAAGGAGGCAATAGCAAAAAGACAGGCATTAGGTGACTAACATAGCCGATGATTGCAATGATTTCGACATGTGTTCTCTATATTGATTATCTAGCCTAGTGAGAACTTAGAGGGGGGGGGGGGGTAGAGGCTAACTTTTTTTCAGTGTCAACTACTATCAGTACCAATTCTAATACTTCATTCTCGGTACATCACTAAAACTGGCTAACTTTTTTTCAGTGTCAACTACTTTCAGTACCAATTCTAATACTTCTTTCTCGGTACATCACTAAAACTGGGGGGGGGGGGCCAACCAGGTTTTCAATTAACATTTGCTCTAGTATAGGTAAAGTTGGGAAAAAAGTGGGGGGGCCAGGCCCCCCCCCCCCCCCCCCCCCCCCGGTTGCTACGCCCCTGAACTATAATATTATAAGAATGATTGATTTTTATGTCATTAAGGACTATCTCTCTTATCAGAGAAACAATTATCCCGAAAAAAAGAGACAAATCTTTCAAAAAAAACTATATTTGACAGGGTTCAGATACTGCTGTTAATTAAGATGACAGCCGCTAATTTAGATGAGATATAAATATAACAAAGAGTTATCAAGCTTAAAAGTCATTTGTAAAAATACAATGGTTATTGTCGTCATTTACATTTGTAATCAACAGAATATGAATTGATATTTTAGGCAATGATAGCTATTGCTTTTGTTCTACTACGTTCATGTATATTCTGTAAAATTGTAAATCTTTGTAATATTGTTTGGCTTTTGATATAATTATGTATGGGAGAGAACTATCTAAGTTTGTGGAACTTTTGTCCAATCCCGCTGACATGTTGTTAATAAAATACGTTTAAAATAAAACAACAATACAGATCTGGAGCAGAGCAAATATCAGAGTTTGTTAAGGTACCAATTCAAGATGGAGTAAGGATTCTCTTATGACCTAGCGGCCATGAGTTCCCTGTCATAATCAGAGAGTGTTAAAATTATTGCCATTCAATTTGTTTGAAAATGTCAAACCACATCCCACGTATCGATAAAATATATTTTTTGACAGATTCATTTTATCCCCCAAAGAATCTGAAAAATAATTAATTTAAACGAGATTGTTTATATCCTTATTTTATCAAATCATATGCTTGCTTTCATTAAGTAACTGTTCTTAATTAGAGCTTGTAACTGACCTTGTGTATCGAGAGTTTATTTTATATTTAGAGTTCAGGGAGATATATCCTATCCACGTATTCATAAAAAAGAATATTTTTAATATATAAAACGTTGCAATATCTACAAACAGTAAATGTTGAATTGAAAGCCAGAGCAAGAAGTTTTCCTTATCATGTAAAAGTTTATAGATTGCATTTTGCTTCATATAAATACAAAAAAGACAGTTAATCTCCCTGAGACTTTCCATGTACCAAATCTAGATTTTGTGAAAATGAAGATAGGCAACACCAATCAGCGACGGAATTCTAAACTTAGAGGACCCGACACTGTGCGGCGATTTTTATTTGTTAATAACATCGTTTTGAATATTAGTAAACTGTTTTTGACTGTATGTTATTATGACACCAATGTGTATCGGCGGTTTGATATTGTATTGGTGAAAAAAAGATTCAAAATCAAAATAACGATTTTGAAGGCATCAGTAGAGGTTTATAACTTTTCCATGGCATCTGATCCCATCTGTGTGCATTCTTTCAATTCTTAACTATGTTAGTTTTATTTCTTCATGCAAAGTTTATTTGCCTCCTGTTAATGTAGTCAATTTTTATGAGTATATAATATGGTTAAACGGTAGGTTTTTTTTTTGTCTTGGTCGCCATCAAGATTACAAACTACCGGTATGTTCAAAGTTTCTCCACAAAAGTCATAATTAAACCTTTAAAATTGAAAGTGAAAAAAAGTATTTAGCTTTTTGTTGAAGATTTAAATGCATTTTTATTTTATTATTATTCTTTAAATTTACCTTTTTTTTAATAGTTAAACTATTAAAAGTATCATGACTTCTAATAAGATGTATCAGGTAAATTATTCAGTTAATTCATAAACATGTTCAGGTAGACTGGATCAAGAACTTACCAATGCATTCCGAACTAATAGTTTCAAGTCGATATCCATCACAACAGACAACTGTCCCACTGTTCAATATAGATGTGAAAAATTTTACGCTTAATAGGAAAATAAAGTTTTATGATACTAATTCATGATAAAGAATTATTTTTTTAATATTCCACCTACCCATAAGCATCACAGACACCCTTTTTGCCACAAATAAAATGTATTCTACATTTAAAGATGATAATTAGGAGCAGAGTTTGCTGTAGTACCTTTCCATTCATCATGTCACATTAAAATGTAAATAAGGAAATTCAATTAAAAACATGAGGCGGAAACCCAGATTATGATGGCATCAAAAATTACATTCCAGTTTAAATCGTTTTGAATCGATAATAAAGCTAATAAAGAGCATTATGTAACAATTACGAGGGACGTTCAATAAATAATATCATTAGCTCGATGACATACAACAAAGAAGTCATATGACATAAAGCTTGACTTTCTCTCATTATTGAATCTTTAATGAATTTATAACAGTTTATGTCACCACTTTTCCTCACATAGTTTTATCGTGAGAAGCTGGGAAACAAGGGCTATTGAGACACTGATTATGAATGAATGGTAAAGAATCATTAAACAAGAGTGAAAATAAAAGCTACATTAAAGCTGCTGTAAAACTTGTTAAAAATCCCCAAAAAATATTCACTGAAATATGTGACATTTACAGCAACCGATGCCTGTTTTATAGACAAATGAACAGGTGGATTTCAATGATAAAAATTATATAATAGGCATCAAAAATGGGTACCCTCCTTGCCAACAAAAATTATAACAACTTATGTACTGTATGCCAAATTTCAACAAATAATATTTGATGTTGTATGATTGACTTTAAGACACATAGCAAAGTTGATAGACATCATATCGGGAATAGTTTACACTGTTTTTAAGAACCGTTTGACAGTAATTAAGCTTGGTACTCTAAGGTCACCCTGTATTTTGAAAAATGAGTGAAAACGACCGCGTGTACAAAAGTCTTAACAATTATTTTAAAATATCAGTAATTGTAGTAATCCACGTTTGTTTTATATTCAAACAGATATTGGAACATGAATCTATTGCTTAAAACCATTAAAACAAAATTTAACATAAGATGTACTTGATAAAAACGGCGAAGGTCTGCATGTCAAGAGCAAAGGTTTGAAAGAGCACAAAGACAGATTTATATGCAATTTTTTTAAATATTAGTGGTATTGTTGTTCAAATTCGTATTCGGGGAGACATTTTAATATCTGGAGGTGTCTAGAAAGCAGTTTTTTTGCAAAGAAATCGAAAGGTTTTTCAGAGAAGGGACCCAGAATAAGGAATCCACTACATTGAATTTCTTCATGACAGCGTTCAAACCCGCATGCCCTAAAGAGTAAAGAGGTTTTCGGGATAATCAGAAAGTTAATTTTTTTTCACATTAATAATGGTTGAAAGATCTTTGACCTTTTGACTTGTTTCTATTTCCAAATTTGAAAAAAAACACCTTTCAGAAGGAAAAAACAAGTTCAGGAAATCATAGGATGTGCAATTTTCCAGTATACTTAGGGTCATACCCAAAAATGAGTTCTAAAAACAATCAGAAATTGGATAAAAAATGTTAGGGACGTGTGTTTGAATTAAAAGAGATTAATAAGTAAAATCATGAAGACTAAATGATTGAAAAGCGTCGTTTGCTTCTTTCTGAGCCCCAATGACATTATTTATTGATCGCCCCTCGTAATATATCATTGACTGTTTAAGATTTGGAAACATCCATGCAAGCATGAAAACCATACAACCAAATAGATGCGTAAGAGGTAAGGTTTCCTTTTTTAAATACTCACAAGACATATTAAGTGTTGTGAAAATTGGTTGATCGAAAATAGGAAGGAATTAAATCTTAAACTTAGTGTCAACAAAGAAATGTAATAAAACTTCGCGATCGAAATTTAGATCTAGTTTTACTAAGTCATTGATAAAGTGATATAACTGATTCCAGTAAGGGCATTGCATACAGAATTCCTTAAAGAAAGTTTGATTATAAAGAATGCTAAAAAGCTCAATCTACCGGGAACTTTCAATCATTAGGAAAAATTACGAACAAGTGAGCTATATCTTTCCGTTACGATAGGTTCCAAGTGAATTTTTAAGGAAGTGCTAGATTGTAATAATTTTTTTATATGTACAAAATGGTCGAGCTAGGGAAGAATTGCCGTACTAACTGATATTTTAATCCGTAAAATGTCAGAAAATATTTTTGTTAGTATCATTTAAAGAACAAGACGGGTTCTGTATCAAATATAGAAATTCGGAGGATCAAGAAACTCGAGTTGAACCCCCCCCCCGTATTTTCGATTTAACAAAAGTCATTTAAACAATTAATTATCAGTTGAATCTTGATATGTATAGGTTCGCAGAACTTTTAACAGAGTACATAATGTTTAAGAAATTATAAATCAAGCTTTGATTATTAACTTTTTTATACACTTGCAATATCGAAATGTTAGGTGACCTCAATAATGGAAATAAATCACACGAATCGTGTCATTTGGTCTCCAATATCACGTGAAAAGTCCCATAAAAATGTCCTCGACATGTAAATTTGAACCACATTACAATTTTCTTATCTCAAAGTCCTTATCGTCCATCCTTGTCAGAATGTATTCTCAAAAAAATAATTCTCTGATATTTCCACAAAAAGTCACAAATAAACCCTAAAAATAAACAAAATCAACTTAAAAACTAAGGACTTTTAAACTTTATAAACATCCTTTCACACGATAAATCAAATTTAAATTCTATGCTTTTTTATGTCGTTTACGGCAGCTTTTTCAATAAGAATAGAATTCGAAAATTTACTTTCCATGTAATTGGTCATTTTCAAAATTATTTTGCTAAAAACACTCTCAGACGGATTTTACACACATGTACTCTGTGAATTGTTAGCGAACCAGTTTACGTATGACTTGTTTTTTTAGTCTACTGGATATTTCCGGGTTTGCGGTTTTGTTTTGTGTATTAGATTTAAGTTCTCCATGCAATCGGAGTTCCTCGGATGACTAGTACCTCACACATAACCTCGGACGTCAAAGGTGATCTTCCATCTTGCTGAATCAGTCATGTGATCTTATTTGAATTTCATTCAAATATCAAACTTTTTAACTCCGAGTTACTTTGATGCACGCCCAACACTGTGTTGTTTCTTTCAAATAATACTAACATTTGGTTGTAATTAACACGAGGAATTACACTGATAAAGAAACCTTTTCTAAGATCTTTAGGCAGAGTGAAATATGAAATGAGTGACAAGGCAGTTTCCGGCGGAGAAATGTAGCGATCTGTTGCGTATTCCTCCACCTATCACATCCGAGGTTTGAATGGAGCGTAGCGGAGTCAGCCGAGGATTGCCGATTGTTATCCATGCTGGCGTCTGATGCAGCGCATGTTTGCAGCAGCAACTTAAATATTTCGTATTAATTGTCCATCCGGCCAAGAGCACATTGGATGTTTATATGTTTGCAAATGTGTAATATGATTATAGTATTTGATTTTGCTTAAATGTCGGCATAGGTGTCCAACATTGAATTTGTGTATTCTCTTGTCATTTCTAAAAATAGCAGATACCGCCAAATTTATAGTATACAATTTTGCATTGATATATTTGCATAGTTTGCTCAATGAGATATTGTGAGATATTGCGAGATATTATGAGATATTATTACTATGAATTTAAGTGGAATCTAGTCTTAATCTATTCCTGTAATTTTCAAAATGTATGTAAATCAGATTAATGGCAATTTATTGCTAATCTAGTCAGTTGCATGTATGATTGTCTGTCATTTGATTACATTGTTTGTACAAATTTATCTTTGTATGTTTTAGCCTTTCACCACGTTCTTCAATAAACTTGAAACACAGTTTGATTGAGTGGTTTATCTGCTTATACGCAGTGACACTCTGAAGATGATATTGAAAGATTCTTGAGTTGATTTCTGAGAGAAAATATTTTTATGGTTTTTGGAGAACAGGTCTTCCAATAATCTGTTGGAATGAATTCCAAAAAGTAGCGATTGAGCCCCATTATTGGCAGACCTATTTCTCCATTCATATAAAGCATAATCTGTCCAAAGTGTTGTACGTGAAAAGAAGAAAATACTTGCTGTGACAATCAACTCGAAATTTCAATATTTCTATGACGTATTTTCAATTAACATTTTTTCGCATTCTTATCTTTCGCGATACATTCCAATGAGCTTTAAATTCAAGATTCCACATATTCTGACACATCTGTCTCATATGTACATGTAGATATTTTACTTGAAGAAGACGTTAACTAGTGGAAAAATACAATTATATTTTTTGATAAACGTTTTGACTTTTACTTTTCAATCGTCAACTTACCTTACTAATACAACACTCAGCAACAGCATACGGAGTTTGTATAACTCAGATGATTCGATGTGCAATAGCATGCTCTACGTATGATCAATTGCTTAAACGGGGTAAATTACGAGGACCGTTCAAATATTACGCGGAATTGTTGCATGGAAAAAATATTTGACGTCATAAACGGGCAAAATTTCACACATAATATAAAAGAATCTTTACTTATATGGTCTTCAAAATTTTATATCAAAGTTTATGGACAAAGTTTTCGTCGATAATCTTCTTCCCGTCCTCTTGTATAGCCTTTATATAGAGTTGTAACGGTCTAAAATTTCAATTTGGCATTTTTGGTCGAATATCACGAATACCCTCGTTTACTACTTGTTTGATTATGCATATTTTGGATCTATGTTGGCGATATCTCGAGCATATCACATTACTCAACAAAAGTGTGGTGGGCCATCAATTTAGGCGACGTCATTTTCACAGTCGTTTTCACGGGAATCGCATTGGAGAAAAACCACAATATTTCTGTTAGTACTTCAAATATCAGGTCAGAAATCTAAATACATAATTATAAAACAATTGAAAGATAAATTTGAGAAAATTGTCGAAAAATATCGCGAATTACAGAAAACGAATGAGTTTTGGATTCCTCATTTTTCTTTCAATTTTTTTTTTGTCGTACGCTGTACCTCTCCAGCAGCGATTTTACCATACCAATAATTTTAGTAGAATTCTTTTAAAATACAGCGATTTTGCCCAAAATTTATTGGAAACTTTAAGAAACATATTTCTGTGAAATTTCATAACTATATGACGTCTGTAAGATTAAATAATAGCAGAGTCCGCGTAATTTTTGAACGAC